TGCATCGTACTCAACCCGGTAACGTTATGGGGCTTGCCCTCCTTCCCCAACCTTTTTGCGACCGTATGTCCGTGGCCGCGTACCTACTAAAAAAACCACCTCTTGCGCAACGACCTGCTGCACATCCACCTCTTGTGCAACCACTATTGGGTTGCACAACGATCTACTGAACAACCACATGTCATAAAACCACCTTGCATAGCCACTTCTTGGACCACCACCTAACCACGTGGTGTACCACCACCTGTTGGACAAGCAGCTGTTGTGCAACCACATGCGAAAGGACCATCTGTTGCACAACCACTTGTTGTCATAGCGGTGCATATACACCAGTTACCTTCCACCCATGCGTAGAATCTGATGAAATACGATGTCCATGCTATCGCATTTGCACTACTTTGGGTTTAAACAGAAAGTGCTGTCCGTTTTTTTTTATACTCGAAGCGGAGGTTTCAATTTTAATGGAAAACCTAACCAGTAAAGGACACATTTTAGTAAAGAGCACATTTTAGTACAGGACAGATTTTACGTCGAGTCGCTGATTTTTGCGGCCCATTCTGGTGTGGAGTATAATCTAGTTAAATGTTTGTAAGAATCAAACTGTCGGCTGTGTAACGTAGCAGTAATGAGTGGCTGCAAAACAGTGGGAGAGCATGGGAAGCATAAGTCTTACCATAATACACTTGCAAGGAAATTAGAAAAATGCTTTTGCGTTACAAATCATTTGCCACGGAGTGAGAGGTGCACTGCAGAGCTTACAAGACACATCACTGTGGATGCCCATAGATGTCCACGTGCGGTGCTTTAATCGAAGTAGTGCTCTTTATTTTTCTAAAGTGTTGTTCAAAGAATATAGAAAGATACATGTGAACCAAACTTTTCTTACGAGCATCAGAAACTGCATGTTTGTTGATCATATATACATAAATCATATATGCTTGTCCTTTGCAATGTTTTCAGGTCTATAATGCCAAACTTGATTTCAGCCTTGACTAGGATGAGAGAACTGTTCTCTCTGTAGGATTAAAAATTAAAGCCATCCAGCTAGAAACACAATTCCAATGAAGGCCATCCACTGTGTCTATCATGCACTGAAATTAACACAGGGGACAAGGCTGTTTCATTTACCGTGAGAGTTGCACAAGCTATGTGCCAATACATGCTAGATTAAACAGAAACTATATTTGGTGCCTAACTTTTCTTAAACCCTAAATATTCAGCCCTAAGTTGTCACCCATGTTCTCGGCACATGTGCAACTGGAGAAGCTTGATCCGGCAAAATATGTGCTTCCGCAAGTAGCAGCGGATATTGCCATCCGACTAAGCTCACTTGACAAGAAATCGGCGGTGCCAACGAACCTCAGAAATCGGATCATGAATGGCTCCGACATGACATTTTTAAATGCACACTGTATCTTACATATATTCCAGAGACCAAAGTATGATACGAGTTAAAGTTGATTGGGAGAACCAACAGATGTCAAATTTTAAAAGGGCAATGACACAAAATGTTATGCCAGTGGATTCAAATTTTAGTGACTGTCCATCCTTTAGTATGGCAAGCCAAAACTAGCACGGGATAGTTAAGGACCAGAAACGTGGTGTGCATTCAGAAATGTAAAAGACAACAGCGCACCACTTCGTTACCTCTCTCCTTCGCAAAACCAGGCCGGACTGGAAGCGCGCGCTCTCTTTCTCTTCTTACGGCCTTTGCAATCGCCCGGGAGTCAATGGCATTTTTTTTTTCTCCGTATGCAGTTCACTTGCTTGCCGCCAGAGGCGCAACCACCTCACCCCCTTCACCCCACTCGGAGAGTCCCTTCGAGCTGTTTTGCGCTGGTGTTCGAGCTTCGTAGGTTGTTGTTTCGGCAACGGTTTCTCAGAACACATCTGATTAACCATGCAAAGACGGTCACGGACAGAAACGAAAAATCAGATGGATACGTGCCCTCGAGGAAACGCTCCAAGCTGTAATATGCACTCTGCGAAAATTGTATAGACTACTAGACCCTCATCTAGAGCAGCTGACCGACTTCATGTGTGGCCTATGAAACGATGGAGACCACGGCATGAAATAGATTGGGCCTGCTTACATTCCACGAGAGTGTACAAATTATTTATTATTTAAAGTTCCTCCACGCAAAAGAGGTCCGTCTCGTCCTGTTTTTTATTTGCAACGGAAGTCCTGGAGGTAAAGACAAGTATAGTTTTTCCGCAATTGCATTTGCTGTCTCTACTTACTACTTTTTACTCCCGAATCTCTCGGAGATGTGCGTCAAATATTCACCGTTTTTGGCTCATCAGAAGCGCATTAGATAGTGACTGAGGGTCTAAACGTAAGGATCAGGTGTCAAAGGCTATAAAACTCTCGGCCGCAAGTTGCGACAGCGCTGAGATAAGGGCCGCCCACACTAGCGAGAAAACGCGCGCGGCGCGCCGATCGCGTTGAAAACCCGTTCCGCAAAATCGGTTGAGCGGGAAGATTTTCCTGCCGCGAGGTAATGGCTCCCTGCACTATTTCTTGTGGTATGCCGCGTGCCGCTGGTACAGACGCGCCAATCAGAGGCGTCACATCTAGTCACGTGGGATGCCATGGCAACGCTTTCGCGAGAAAGTTGAGCCGCCGAGTAGTAGCGAGTCCAGGCGAGCCAGCGAACATTCTTTCTGCCATGAGCCTAGAAAACAACACGAGGACGATTGAGCGCTTTATTGAAACAGTACGGATGTACCCGTTTCTATACGATAAAAAAACACCCGGAGTTCAAGCAAAAAAGCGGCGAAGCTGAACCGATGTGCGATTATCGGCGAGGATTTCGGTCTCACCGGTGAGTTTTTTCGCGACCCTTGTCGCACGTTCATTGTCACTCGAGTTGTGTGAACGCCTCGCGCGCCGACTCCGTGATGTTCAAATCTTTTCTGGCTTTTTGTCAGAGCTCCTTGCATCATTTGTTTAGTACTTTGTACTTGGTGATGTTAAATAAACTTTGACTCCGTGATGTTAGCGCAGGGGTTCCCGTAATGGGTTCCGAAGCAACTTTCGAAGAAATAAGCACAGGTGTCCGTTGGGCTCAGCACCTGATATGAAGGTGGCTTAGTTTAGGGGGCCTTCACGTGCGCTTTGCTTGGGGTGATGACATCTGGCCATTTTGTTCCGAACGCTTGTTTGTATTTTTTTGTTTTTAAGCGCGTGAAAGGGCGTGTCTCTGCACGCACTCGTGGCGCTGACTGTGCTACGGCGACTTTTTGCTACCGGTGATTTCTTTGTATTTTCCCTGTGAACTCGTGCTGTCGGCATCGGGTACTACAAACGATGGCATCACCCTAAACAGAAGGACATCTAGGCGCCTAGCTTAGTTATGACAGCCGTGCATCGACTCTCTTTTGCGGGCACAGCAAGCTTCCCGGGCTTGCTTTGCGCAGTCTTGTCTCAACAATGCAGTAAACCGTCTCTAAATTTCTAATGGAAGCATATATCATGCAGAAGAAGCAGCCGCGGCCAAATTTAAGAATGTCAGGGACCGCTGGTTGAAGATTGTTTCCGGTGTGGAAAAATCGAGGAGCGGCTCCCAGCGGAAATGTCGGCAAAGTAAAAACAAAGTGGATTTTATTTGAAGTGATCAACGACGTTCTTAAAAGGAAACTCCGCTTCATTTTGATATTTAGAAAACTATGTAGCCCTCTTCAGTATCATATAGGAAGACCCCATGTCAAATATTACGATCTAATTCCGTCTATATATGTAATAAACTGGCCAGCAAACCTTCAAGCGAGCCAAGTCGCCGAAATCTGCCAACTCTAGCGTGCGCCGCGAGGCGCAATCATCAGCGCAGTCAATGCCATGGAGTTGGAGCAGCCGACAATGAGCCACTACGTCAGAGGCATGACTACATCATTCTCACGTTTTGTTTGTTTTTACTTCTGAGAAAAAAATTTAACGATGACGTCATGAGTTTATCCTCCCGGTGTTGGCTGACAGGGCGTTCACGTGATCACCGTAACGCGGATGCGCTAGTTTGCGCTGCCCTGCGCGCTGATCGGTCTGTTTCTCCGCTCCCCTTCTCCTCTTTCATCTTCTCCCCTTCCCCCTCACCCCCGGGCCATCACCGTCCGCGCCTTGCGAAACGATCTGCCCGCGTCGCGTGTCCTGTTTCTCGCTCCCTCCCGAACGTCACGAGACCACGTGGTTCGACGTGAAGTGGCCATGACTCTGACGCCCCGAGACCAATGTTGCCTGACGCAACCGAAGTTTGGGTTTCGGTATCAGCTGATGTTTAAATTAGGATTACACAAATAATATTCCACACTTCGCGAGTACGAAGACGTAGAGTTGTTTAATAGTGCTTTGTGAATTTGAATCACATATAAGCCTAAATTTTTCGGAATTGAGCGGAGTTGCCCTTTAAATACACGCCGCACTACGCTGAAAGGTAATGTGTAACTATGGTGCTCATGTGAGCGTGTGAAATGATTGCGTCTAAATTGAGAGGGTACATTTTTCGTTTTATTAAGGAACGCCACAAACTTGCGGGTTGAGGACGATAGGTATGATGCTGCATTTTTCTTTTCCTGTCTGCTACGTTTTACCCTAGAAAAATATTTTATAAACTTACGAATTTCACTGCCCCAGCGTTTTTGTTAAGCAAGGCTTATAACTACTGCTATGCAGGGACACAGAGCAGCCCTCCACATCCAGTTCGACTGCAGCAAGTCTTGACCTTGCAGAAAGGTAGACACCACTCGTGTTTACATTACCTGTGGTCACAGCACAATAAAAATGTGCTACTAACTTTAACAAAATTTCTACGCACAGCTGTCCCCTGAGACCTGCTAAGGTTGTTTTTGAAGCAATGTAAGCATACTTTATATTGCTTTGTCGTAACCTCTTTCCTGTGGCATGGCCTGTGCCATGAGTGAAACGCCGTACATTTGCAATAAATAATCCAGCTACTCCAATGGCCCTGCTCTCTTGCTATCGGAGGAAAACAGCCCAAGGCGTGCGGTCTCAATCCTTTATTGGTGCTGCAAGATGCACTGCATACTCCTCTTACAATACTGAAGCACAAATTCACAGACTGCCTTTATTTTGCAGCATCCATGAACACCCAGGCAAGGGGAGGCGATGTAGGTCCTTCACGGTAAGAAAATCATGTCTTCAATATTCTTGTACGTCCTGGCTGATTTGCTTCCTTTGGTTTGCCCAGATCAGCCAAGAGGCCAGCTGACCAAGTGCCATCATCCCGGTACTTGCGTTGTTTCCTATGAAAAAAGACAATTGCGTGAAAATCAACGTCTGGACTGTTTTCCAGAAAAAAGAAGCAACGGGGCCAGGATAGCTTCGAGGACTCTGTGCGGAGCGTCCTCCGCAGCTGCTCGGCCACATTGAACGCCATCTCGCACAAGACCGACACGCCTGTCATTAAAAACGACTGTACGGCGGGGGCACAATGGATTGAATCCATACTGGCATTGCTTTCACAAAAGCTAAGATGTGAAGTAATGCATAAGATTAACCAACTGCTGTATGAGGCCGAGATGAAGATGTTGGAATGAATGCTCAACCGAAACGTCATTGTTCGTGTTATTTATCTAAGATTTTAGCCTTGTAGATCTATACTACAAATTAAGTAAGCACGTTACTTACAAATTTCATCGTGTACTGTTTCTATACTTGATGTTAGCATCCTCCAGAGAAGACATCAATATTTCGTTGAAAAATTAGTTACTGTGATGATCGGTCATTACCTGCTGTCCCGCTCGAGTTACGATTCTTTCTTGCCACGGGACCTTTCCATCGTTGAGGAAGTATGTGGCCAGTCGGTTCCGTACTGCCAAAGCAGTCCTGAAATACAAGATTACACAATGTCTGTCAATGGAATGAAAAGTCAGCAGGCATAGCATTTTCGGTAATGCACGCAAGTGGGAAATTGCAAACCTAAATATCACTTTTTTATCCCCGCGGCCCATCTGCTGGAATAATTACCCGGGAGAGTGGGACCCCAGGCCCGCCATGTCCCTCAACGGCAGCCCCCTGTCGTCATTTCTCCATGACCCATCTGTGAGATTTCCCTGCCAGTCCTCGCTGTCCACATAGCCCGGAGGATTGTACGCTGACCTTGACATGCCAGAATTCTTGAGCAGAAAGTTGTACAAAGCCACGCACGCCTTCACAATATTTTTTGTTGTTTCTTCCGAGGCCCGAAATGCTCTTCATAGAATTCGCCACCTGCTGGCCATGATCCCAAATGCATTTTCTATGAGCCGTCTGGCACGGCTCAGCCGGTAATTAAAGGTGGCCATTTTCAGATACTCTTCCCGGTCAGGTTCACTGTTTCTGCACCTTTGGAGCTCTGAAGAAATATGCAAAATTGAGACGTCAGTATTAACCACCACAAACCGCGTGCGTAACATTGTCTCTGATTAAGCTGACTATCGAGCAATACTGTGCCAATTATGGCAGGCTGCGCGCTCGTGTTTTTCGGTTAAAACTGACAGAGTCTGCACAGACGAATGCATCTGCTAACAGAATAAAATAATGGCATTTCCTGCAAAGTACACTTCCATAAATAACTAATTTCATGACGTGCGAAATGAGTATTCAATAATTTCTAAATAAAAAGAAAGCACAATGCTGTTTTCTTTTACAAAGAAATAATGTGAGCTATAGTATACGAAAATCAATAGCAAGACTTGCCGCGCCCAGGATATGGCCTCATGAGAAAGGGCTTCAGCGGAAACGCCTCATCCCCTACCATTAAGTAGGGGATCGGGCCAGCAGAGCCCACATTTGCTGGAGGAGGGATGCCATATCCGCTGTCAGGTAGAACCCCGAAAAGTGGCATCCTTGAAAAAAAACCTCCATCACTCTCCGCCATAATGACCGATGTCAACATACGTGAAGCTGAAATAAAACAGCAGATAGAAGTCGATACATTCAATATGATGCAATATAAAGTACAAACTTGCAGTATCCTTGTTTTCTTAGTAGCGGTAGCTTTCTTTGCACTCATAACCAACATGCCATGCTATTACAAACACTTATTTAAATAATTAATCAAATGAATCCTACCTGTAGCGTGCATCAGATACTGCCATAAGAACTGTACTAAATGTCATCTTATAGTTCAGGTTTCTTGCACCTGAGTTGCTGGGGCATTCAATCTTGACATGTTTTCCATCAATGCAACCAATACGATTAGGGAAATTCCAGAGTAAATCTATCTCTGCTGCAATCTGAAATAATGGTGGTCATAAAAACAGTGGGAAGTGAGCATGGCATAGTGTGACCTAACAGGTACAGTCCCTAACTTTTTTCCATTCGGTTGGGCCCTGTGGAAATCTAACGTAGATGGGCTGCAGAATGTTCGACACTGCAGCACATGTTTCCTTCACAATCCCAGCCGCTGTTGATCGGCCCACCAAAATATCAAAAAACGAACTACGGAATGTGTCCCCATTTGCAAAGAATCTGGAATCACAAAAGAAGAGGTGTCTTGGTAATACGCGCGTGTTTTTTCATACAACGCTCGCTTAGCGCACCTCGCAGTTGCTTTTAATTCTCCGCAAGACTGCTGTCTCACTCGGAAAATTCATTATAACATCAAGATAGCGATATGCTAACTCCGTAATGTCAATCTCCCTCCCCCTTCTCCCCCCCCCCCCCCCCCCCCCCCCCCCCCCGGCCCCGGCCCGCCGCCGCCGCCGCCCCCCCCCCCCCCCCCCCCCCTTTACCTGACGGTGATAACAAGCCGGTCGTGTGCTGATATCGGGTCGCGGAACGGCGCCATTTTACGTTCGATCGCTGGACGGATGAGTTGCAGCAAGGAATCAAATGTGCTGGGTGCCATTCGCAGGAAGCTGGAGACCAAAAAGCGATAAAAAAAACATCCGTTTACCATTGTATATGGTGAACACTTTTAAGGTAGAGAATGGCTGTAGTTACTCACTTTCGAAAGTAAATTTCGTCTGTGGCGCGCAGGAGAGGCAGCAAAGCACTGGCCTGTCCTTGCAGATTTCGGTAGCGCCAGCTCGGTCGAACCCACCATCTACGTTTCTTAGCTTTTTGGAAGCGCCGACGACGGAGAAGTAGGGAGCACACAAGAATGATTGCGTTGGCCGTAATTACGAGCTCATCTGCACCTGTCATGACTCGATCTTCGGCGAGCAAAAGCGTCCCTCGCCCGCTCGATTGTTTCGAGAATCCTCGAGATCTTGGAGGAAATCATGCGTTCGCTCGAATGCTTCAAGAGTGCGCGAGGCCTCCTGTGCTGTCACGTGACATTCGCGGCGGCTATCTAGTGTGGTCTTCAGGATGCGGGACGCGTCTTCCCGCGATCGGCGTGCCACGCGCGTTTTCTCGCTAGTGTGGGGGTATTCACACGAGGGAGAAATCCAGGGGATTTCTCCCCGGCACGCGCGCATCACGAGACGAAAACGCGAGGCTTTTGCACATCGCAAAGCCTGACGTTTTCGTCGCGGGATGCGTGTGCCGTGGAGACATCCCCGGGATTTCTCCCTCGTCTGAATACCCCTTTAAGGCCGCGGTAAATAGTGTGCATGTTGCGGCTGCTCCGGCGGGGGTGTGTTTTTTTATTATTTGTTTTTGCTTCCGACGCCGTCAGCCCGAGTGTTCGGAGCGCGCGTGTTACCCGATCCGGGCAGTCGGCGCTCAGGCGCCAGCCAGGCGGCGAACAATGCACGGGCCGATTAGACAAGGAATTTGGTTCTGGCGGTTGGAGAACTGACGGGGTGTTGTATTTACTGTCGCACGTTTATTGGACAGGTGTATACCACGTGATCTTTTTTCGGTTTTAAAATTAATGGTAGGTCCTGGCCAAAGGGAGAGAAGGACCTTTCCTACAAAGGCCCGTGTCGGGCAAGAGAAGGACGATTTTGGCGTATGAGCTGGACGCGCACGCGGACTTGGAGGCGTGCAGCAATGATGCCGGGTCCCTGACTCTTTGTAACGAACGTACAGTCAGTAATTATTCGGACTAATAAACACCTGCAAAACGTCAACCATATAAAGGCTCCTGGATTCGGCGGCATCAACAGAAGACGCCGAGGGCCATCGTCATCAAAAAAGTACGAAGGATAAAAAAAAAAAAAACTTTTACTGGTAGGCTTTGTGGTGGCGACTGAGTTAACGTGTCGACGCGTGCGTGTGTGAGTGTGTGCGTGTGTGATGTGCGTGTCATCCGTGTTCTAATTCCTCGTCTATGTTAAGATATATAATGCATGTGCACATGTGAAATAAACGTTGTTCGTATGTGAATGCAATGAGCGTGGAAAAGATCTACCCGAGCGAAACAATATTTTTTACCAATTTTGAATTTGACGTTGACTAGCGCCACCTGAGTGTGTAAGGGCGCAATTTAGTAATAAATTAGGTAAGGTCGCAAGAATTAGTCCCAGTGGCCAAAATGCAAGGGTGCAAAAGTTAGTCCTGGGGATTCAACTCTGAGGGACTAACGGTGGGAAGCAATGGTATCTCCCGTTACCGTTGCTCCCCTAGGGAACCAATGGTTGTGTCAGCGCATTTTCTCCCTTGAGGGAGCAAGTCACGCTCCCTTTTTTCTTAGACCGCAGTGGTGCTTCACACGTGTGAATGACCACAGTTGCACAGATTTATTTTAAGAATTAAATTGTTTTTCATGAAACATCTTAAACACACAGTTTACTTTAAAAATTAAAAAAAAAGCTCTAGTCCGCCTTTTGACAATAACGCTGAGCATGCATGTAAAACACTTACATTCCTAAGATCAATATTAAAAAAGAAAAACAAAAACCAGTCACTATATATATAGAGAGAGAAAGAGAGAGAGATTTTTTTTTTTAAATTGTGCAACGAAGTATTTTAGCTTTGTTTCATGCTCGAATGGCCAAATTCACTTTTGACTATTTGCTTTTTGTCATCAGTGGATCACATAAAAATTACGACATCAGCCGCGGGTGATTTTTGACTAATTTGTAAAACTGCTGTGCACCGCACGAAGGGACCACGGCGCCCGTCAATCAATTATTCAATCAATCTTTATTTGCACAAGATAGCGGTAGGCGGGAAGTGTGCAGGGCTGGCAGAAAGGTGATCAAACCCGTACTCTGAAGCGCCTGCAAGCCAACTCTTCAAGAGCAACTTATTAAGTAGACACAAGACAACACTTTCACCGCAACGCGCCCAGCGACCTTTCAAGGCTACAAGCACCGCGTTCGACCTCGCACACGAAAACAGCCGATCAAAGCTAGGTGAGTACATACTCTTCATTTCTTCTACATCGCCACAGAGAGGTATCTCGGCTTATAGAAAGCCATTTCTCTTGGTGAGTCCTTCCGGACGCGCGCCTGTGAGCTGCTGTGCGAGCAACCGGAATCCTAGCTGGTACTGTTAAGAGCGGTAGTCTTTTCGAAAACGGAAAATAATTACTGCATTCAGCTTCACTTTTACTAAGAAGTAGATGCCTTAGCACGCTGAAAATATTTTGCTTGAATGCAATGGCTTTGCGTACAAAGTAACATACTAGTAACATTATTTCTTGATGACACGCTCACAGGTAAATTGCGGTTCCATTTTTATTGAGCATATACAAGCCGAATGGTCGGAGTCGGTTGTCAGTGGTAGGAGTGTGTAGGGTGTGTCAGTAGTTTGTCGTTGTACGTGCCTATGTATGTAGGTATGTATGTATGTATATATATATATATGTGCGTGTGGGGGTGGGAGGTTCTGTACCGCGCAATACTTTTGCCTAGCAAGGCCAGTTACTTTTTTTTCCTCAAATTGAATGGATGGATGGACGAATACGGCTGAGCCCTTTGGATCGGGCGGTAGCTTACGCCACCTAGCCGTTGGAAGCGCCATCTGGTGTTGGCGCTAGAAAAGACAAAGGGTGTCCACTATTTCATAATAACTACACTAGGTGGCGCAGGTCACCGTCCAATTCACAATGTTCAGTGCTCCATATTTATTCATTCATTCGTCATCTCGATTGCTTGTTATCGCGTCCTATTGACTGATATGCGCCCTCCGTGCGCTAAAAGCTATCGAATGCATACGAACGAGTGGATATCTCAACGACCAAGGTGAGCAGAAGCGTGATAGAAAAGTGTATGCATCGGTTTGTTCACCGCACGTCTCCGAGTCTCGTCGTCACTTGCCTGCCACTTACGGCATCCAGTTGGTATGCTCAATAAAGAGTGCATCGCACTGGGTACGGTGCCGGTGCTTGGAGACAAATGTTTGGGGTCGTCAAATAGGAATACGCGCCTTGTGCATTGCTTTGGCAAGGCCGCGTCAGCCGAGCACCTCGTTAGAACTGCCCGT